CTGGCACCTGTGGCTGTCGCGTCAAACGTGTGCCCATGGGTTTTGCTCTACGGCGCGAATTAGACGAAATTTGAATGTGATCGATATTAACCTGTGGTCGATATTCCCCTACCTTCCCCTGCATCGATATCTTTAATGCTAAACACTCTATACCTATAAAAAGCTTAAATTATTGATGATTTTATTTTAATAATTTAAATTAAATAGGTATACATTGGACCGACTAAAACCCAAATTATAACTAGATTTAAAGAAAATATAAAAATGTTTGCGCGCGTGGCATTGAAGATTATCAAAACTATAAAATAAGGGAATTTTATTGTAAGAAAACAATTGCTACATCTGTCGCGTGCTGTTTTAACATTAAATTCGGATACTTCGACGAATGTTCCGCTTGAAACTATTCGAACTTTTCCATTTTCGAATAAAAATTCCTCGCGTGAAAATATCGTCGGGAACATAATTCAGAACCTTTACGGGCAAAGACATGAAAATGTACAATCGACTATAAATTTTTAAAATGCCTCATAACTATTAGAAAATGCGTTCGATTCCGTGTTTTCGGTTTCTGCCCGATTGTACCCGGCACCGTATCAGTAATCATAAATTTTCGTAAAGAAAATCTCGTAATTCTGTGTCAGCCGGAAAGGCGTCTTTTATGAAAATGAGGTTATATTTATTCATGTTCCTCCTTGGTTTCGGTGTTTTTTAAGTGTTTTCGCGGGGTTAATATTTACTGTCACGTAATTTTTGAATAATTTCGCTTAATTTATGGTATTTGTTTTCGGGGGCGAGATATTTTATGTCGTTTCCTGTCGTTCCTTCGGTTTTGATATATTAGATCGCGAACATGAAATATCTAGTAGACGAAAAGCTGATAAACTAACAATGTATTACCATTTGCGGTAATATTTATCATATTCGGACGTTCTGTTCGTGTCTCAAGATGTATTTCTTGGTCAAATAAAAACTTTCGTTACTCTTAATCACTAGCGGTTATTCTTAGCCTTGCAAGTTTCTGTATAATTTATCTATTACGTTGGGCGCCGAAGCAATAGTTTCGGGCCGTAGCTCTTACTCAAGTCTCTTCTATCAACTGTCGACAGTCTTAAACCAACGATTATATTGGATAATTCTTTAGTTTAATGTAAGCCATTGACTGAAGTAATAACCTAATTGTTTGGTTTATTTCAATGAATTTAATATACATTCAAAATACATTTAATGACAACTATCCCAAAACTAATAACAGCCCTTCCCCTAGCCCTTCATCCCCTAGTGGCCTATCCCTTTCGCAGTCGGTATATAGTATCCACAATATCACCACATCCCTCCTCAAGTCTAATCATCCAAATATGTTTCTCTTTGTAAGGAAGGTCTAATCGTCTGACAAACTTCACATGACTATCATATTTTTATTATCGTTATTGATATTTGGCCAGTATACTGTCTTGCACAGCGTTTTATTCTCTCTATGTCTTGATGGGAATCGTGAAGTCTTTCAAATACGATTTTTCTTGAAGACACAGGTATGACAATTTGGCATCCTTTCAAGACAAAACCATTATTATAACTTAGCTCATTTTGAGTATTCCAAAAAAAGTCCGTCAGCTAGGTAGAATTTTCTCTAAGCATAATTTCAAAAATTTCTATAATTTATGTCTAACTACTGATTGGAATAGTCTTTCTGAAGATATTGACTTTAAATTTTTAGACTTCTTAAATAAAATAATTATGTGTTTCAATACAGCTTTCCCCCTTCGCCCCATTAAAACTAAATGTCATAAATCTTGGACAACTAAAGGAATAAGAACATCATCTAAAAATATGAGGTCACTCATGTGTATTAAAAAGTACACAGATAATCCCCTAATATTAAACTATATCAACAACTACAGAATATTGTATCGGAAAATCACCAAATCTGCTAAGAAAAACTATTACAAAAATCGCATCGCAAGAGCTAAAAACTCCTCCAAAGAAACCTGGTCTATAATAAATGACTTAAGGAATAAAACCCGTTCTTTAAACAGTGTAAATCCTAGCCCAGATGAACTAAACAATTATTTCGTAAATGTAAGTAAAAATATCAAATCTAACATAGCTCCGAGTCAGGATGCTCTCTCCTTCCTCCTACCTACTAAAAGGATCACTGAAAGTTTCTTCCTAAGACCAGTAGACAAGCATGAACTAGTGCAAACCATAAACAACATCCAAAATAAATTTTCCTGTGGAATTGATGGCCTGTCCACCAAAATATTTCTAAATATACCGGATGTAGTAATCAACATTTTAACTTCACTGATTAATGAATCCTTTGAAATTGGTCTCTTTCCTAACTGTCTAAAAACAGCTATAATAATCCCACTTCATAAAGGTGGGGACAAAACCAAAACCTGTAACTATAGACCTATCGCGTTATTGCCTACCTTATCGAAGATAGTAGAACGGCTAATGAAAAACCGTCTTTTGCCCTTTCTTTTCAAGCATAACATCCTCACAGCTCATCAGTATGGCTTTCTACCTAAAAAATGCACTAGCGACGCAATGTTTTCCGTTCTTAATTTATCACTTAATGATAAACTTTTCACCGCTTCAGTATTTTGTGACTTCGCAAAGGCCTTCGATTGTGTAAATCATGATATTTTAATTAATAAGTTACAAACTTATGGCATACGGGGTTCTCCTTTACAATGGTTTAAAACTTACCTAGAAAATAGAAATCAACAGGTGCGGGCGAATGGTGAGGATTCTACAAATCTAGCAATACGCAGTGGAGTACCTCAAGGATCAGTATTAGGTCCAATTTTGTTTTTATTATTCATCAACGACATCACAGACTTAAGAATAAGTGGTAGAATTACTTTATTTGCTGATGACACCAGTGTAACCTGGAATAATTCTAACATGCAGACATTACAATCTATCATAAGTGAAGATCTAGTGACTATTAAGTCCTGGTCTGATTCGAATGGACTTTGTTTCAACACCAGTAAAACTGTAGCATTGTCTTACAGAGGTACTTTACAACCTATAACTTTAAACAATAATCTGATCCAAACGGTGACTTCAATCAAGTTTTTAGGTCTTTATATAGACGATTCTCTAAAATGGTCTGCTCATATAGATACCTTAGCAAAAAAATTATCCTCCGCATGTTTTGCCATTAAATCGGTTTCTAAAGAGCTGACTCCTTCTACTGCATTAATAACCTACTTTTCCTTATTCGAATCTCACCTTCGCTATGGTTTACCTTTCTGGGGTTCTTGTAGCTTATACCTTTTCGAATCTATTTTTAAACTGCAAAAAAGAGCAATCCGCTATGTATTTGGTTTAAGTAGTAGGACACATTGCGAAAATTACTTCAAAAATTTCAAAATTCTAACCCTTCCTGCTCTATTTATTTTCGAATCCGTCTGCTTAGTTCGCAAGCACATTCAAAATTTATCCGAAAGACCGAATCGTAGATATCCTACAAGAAATTTAGAGACTGATGTTTATTTAACAATGCCCACTTTTGACCTATTAAAACATTCCATTACCTACAATGCCAAAAAATTGTATAATAACCTTCCGATGCAATTAAAATCTATAAATACATACGATAAGTTCCGAAGACTGGCTAAAGCTTTTCTTCTAGAAAGACCATATTACACAGTAGCAGAATTTTATAACGTACCTTAGACATTTGAGTTCCACATACAATGGCATTAATTAAATAATTAAATATTAAAGTTTAAATTTAAATTTAAATTTAAAAATTAAATTAGAATAATTATAATGACGGATATTGCATATCCATTGCAATTGTTATTCCTATTTTGTCTGTTTGTTTCTGTTTGTTTTTTCTGCTGTTTAGTTATTTTTATAATATGTTTAGTATTTAAGTTACACGCTTTGTCTATAAAATTTTTGTAATTTTTTTTACGACAATAAAGCATCTCTCTCTCTCTCTCTCTCTCTCTCTCTCTAAGTTATCACAAAACTAATGATAGCCCTTGACCCCCTAGTGGTCTATCCCTTTCGCAGTAGGTATATAGTATCCACAATATTACAACAGTGTACTTTTATTTTTTATTTACGCTCCGGGTTTCTTTCGGTCATTATGTATACTGGGTTTCCTTCTGTGACTGTATTTGGTAACTCATTTAAAAATCTTTCAACCTGTCATATATGATTTTTCCACTTTGTGTTATCCTCCCCTACTATCAACCTGGTTAGATTCTGATCTTTGTATCAGTAAACATAACCGAGACCTGAAACTTTATTATCTAATTAACAAATTGGAGACGTTTCTAATATTAATGAATTCTTTACGAGGAATAGAATGACCTTTGCAGTCCTAATCATCACATGGCTTTTTTTAAAAGAACTTATTAGACTTACAGAAAACATTATTATTTTTTATATATATTGTTTCTTATATTTTTTTAGGTTATTTATCGGTTAAGCTGCAAATCAGCACAAGTTGAACTTCACCTCTTCACCCTTCTTTACTTATATTGTGACTTAATGAATAAAGACGATTTATTATTATTATTATTATTATTATTATTATTATTATTATTATTATTATTATTATTATTATTATTATTATTATTATTATTATTATTATTATTATCATCGCACCCTTGCTTTAAGTTAAAATATTTTAAATATGATAGTAAACAATCCTACATCAATCATCGAAATTTTTAACTTGGCTTAGACAAGACCCGTCTTGTTAGTTCTTGAGGTTTTAATGTAGGGTTTTTTACTAATCCAATTTATGGTGTTAACTCAAAAGATGCGAATTTACAGTTCTGTAACTTTTGAAGTAAAGGTGCGTTATTAATATAAATTTCTCAGCCACAAGTTTCTACATTAATTATATATAGTTTATTATTAGTTCATTATTAACCCTAGTTTTTATATAGAACATTCGCAATTTCATATTAACACTAATCCATTTTGACACAATTTTCTTATTCTCTCTTTCTAAGATATATCTGGTCTTGCAGATACGGAGCTGGTTACGATCTGGCGGCGAGACGCAAAAACGCTACCAGAGAATCGACGGCGACGCTAAAAGCGTGGCTGAATGAACACAAAAAGAATCCTTATCCGACCAAAGGAGAAAAAATCATGTTGGCGATCATCACCAAAATGACCTTAACGCAAGTGTCAACGTGGTTCGCGAATGCCAGGCGAAGATTGAAGAAGGAAAACAAGATGACGTGGGAGCCGAAGAACAAAACTGATGATGATGATGACGCTTTGGTGTCCGATAGCGATGATAAGGATAAGGATGATGATGAGAAAAGGGATGAAACAGGTATGAAATATACATAGTTTGTATTTGTACAATATTATCTGATATCTTAACTAAAATTGAAATATAACGGCAAACTTGGGTTATTAACATGTTTCGGGACAATTTTAAAAAGTATGTTGTGTCTAGAATGTCAATATTTTTATAAGCTGTTTTGTGTAGTGAATCCGGTTTAAAGTGAGGGTAAAATATTTTTAGGGTTATTTCAAAATAAAAACAATCATTTTTGTTGAATTTTTTTATTGACGGTTATAACCGTCATTTGCATTTGCAATGTCTAAATATATCCATTTGCAAATGACGGTTTTAACCGTTTATGAAAACTAGAAGGAAAAGTTGGTTGGAATGCAAGCATATAATAAAAACTAAGGAATATAAACTCAAACAGTTTTAGAAACTTATCTAAACCGATTAACAAAAACTAAATGATAAAATTATATTTGTCAGCACTATTTTCATGATGTGGAATGGTAGCTTTGAAAGCATGTAGGACATAATGGAGGATTATTTTTACATCCCTTTCACCTAACTGCAGTTTCTTTTCTAACATTTTTTTTCCAACATTGCCTACAATGCAGAAAATAAGTTTTACTTTTATAGTTCTCAGGTGCAGGTATTTTCTCAGCAACATGTAAAACAAGAGTTTGCTGTGTGGCAACTTGATGTGATGGGTTAGCTTCCACAATTGGGGGCAAGCGACTGGTCCTTGGTCGACCTGCTCTAGTTTTTATAACTAAATCAGGGCAATTTGCTGGAAGTTGCAACAAACTCTGGATTATATTATCTCTAAAATATAGAAATGTCTCCTTAGAGCGAAAGTTTTTGTAAATATAGTAGGAATTCCAAACTGAAACGTCTACCAGATGGAAAATGACTGTCTTATACCATCTTATTGTTTTACGAGGCAAAGAATAATACCATTGTATTTAGATCAACTAGTAAAACAATACCAATGCAAATTATCTTGGAGGACAATGGACAGTATCAATAGATGGCAGCAAGCTCCGTGGTGTCCAAGTCATGTCTTTGATAATTTTGTCATCTTCGTAACGAACGTAATTTCTCTATTTACTAATAGATGGACCGATAATCGATTCAAAACATTTGTTTTAAAAATGAGATATATGAGTTTAATTATGCTTGATGAATATTTATTTACGATTTATCATCATTTTAGAGAATATAAACAATAGTAATTTAAATTTGGCACTCTATTCATATGAATTTAAAAATTAGGAAAATTTTATGTATGTAGAATTCTATACCCAATGATCGAGGAAGCGCTAGCGTTCGGGATATTATGATGAATTTCTAACAGATGTCGCGACAGAATTGCCTCCAATGAAACGTTCATAAGGTTTTTCTACTATCTTTTTTAAATACAATGATAATACTGAACCATTTGATTACAACGGTCTACTCCCGAAATATTTTCGTTGTAGTCAGCATTGCTCTGGGCTTTATTTTTGGTTGGCCAAAAGTGCTACGAACCTCTATTAGTTCAGGATTGTTCGCAGTGGATATAAAAAGTACCTCTCTCTTATCTTTCCACTTTGAGACATACACATCTCCAGATCTTCTCCAGATTTGCTATCCTTTCTTAGGTTTAGAATCAACTACTGCCTTTGGATTGAAAAATACATGTAGCGATATGGAATCAATGACGGCTAGAGCCGTTATTTGCTTATAGAAGAAAATTGGAATGACTGCTATAGGCGTCATGTCCCAGGCAAGCGATAAAAATGTGACGGCTCTAGCCGTACTGTCCGTCAACGACGAGTTAATTTAAAAATATGGTGCTCCGGACTTGTTCTCGAAAATTCTAGATGACTTTTGACTAAGAATACATACCTACAACATTTTCTATTGAATAAACACTCAACTTTAAAAAATAGTAATATTAGTATAGTTCTCTCTTCGACATCTTTAATTAATGTGGTAATAACAAAAACAATCGTCTTAAATACGATCTTTATCTAAGTAACCGTTCTCCAAACGTTACTACTCCCTTTCCACTGATGTTTCTTCTCCCTCGCATCCACTCGGACGGATGTCGGTAAATAAAAAGGGCGAATTGAATTGAAGCTAATGGAAATCAAAGAGCGTATCCCTGTGAAGTAATTAAGGGTCATGATAGGGTGGGCGATATAATATAGAGCTGTGGATTTCTTGAAGGGGGTCGCCTAGGTCGGGACGGATTAAGGGCGTTAAGGGTGAAACAAACTTTCGTTTATAGCCAAGATTGACTCCGAACTTCATTATGCGATTCAGGGGGCTGCAAATAGAGGGAAATATTGAAAGTGATATCTTATTTGTAGACATGGAAATAATGAAATTAATGCTTGTTACCTAATAAATACAGTATGATGCAAATAAAAGGAAAAATCTTGAATAATCGCAATAATTGGCGCCCAACGTGGGGCTTATTTGTAAATTTTATTATTTATTTCTAAAATATTTCTTAATACACAAAAATAATCGGAATTCTAATGAAACAGCTGTTTGAATTCGATATATTATTTCTCTAAGTTTTATACGAATCCAGAGTTTGTAAACGTTTGAAGCAGCCGAAAAATTGGACCAATAAATTCCGCTCTGTCGTCATAAAAACCGCAGACACACACACACACTGAAAATAATGGACGGTATAGTTGTTTACCGTGTTTTTGGAGACCATTATAAAATTTATTAGATCGTTGTCAGAGATAAAATATTTAATTGTTCATCAAGTCGACTCTACGAAACTATTAACTTGATTAATGATAAAAAGCGTTTTATTTCTTTGGACCGAACGTTATTGTAAGCAAGATTAATTAACTGAATGTTCGTTTGTTGTAAATCAAAATTATAGAAACAAATATTGCTTTAAGAATTTTGTAAGAATGTGTAAGGGTGATAGACTGTGTCAATTTTTAAAAAAAATAGGATTTGAATTTCATTCCTCAACATATTTTTAAACGTTTGTTAAATTTTTTCTTGTTTGTAGAGGATCTATAGTTTTCTTTTATATTTTGAAAGATACCTAATTTTATTTTTTCATTAACCTATTGTTATTTAAGCTAATCACAATTAAATTAGGAGATATAGTTATATTTTTAAAAGTATTTATTTTCAAAAATATTATTTTATAATTTTACACTCTTTCATCAATAATTTCACAAATAGTGTTTGGTATTATACGTTTCTCTTTTGGGATTAGAGTGGAGTGTATTATATTTATTTTAATGTGAATTAAATTAAAGATTGCTATATATTTATAACAATATAAAAATACAGAATTTGCACAATTTTTATAAACTGCTAATGAGGCTGAACCAAATTAACGCTTTGTTTTTAACATTTGTCAACGATGCATATATTTAGAAACAAATAAATCCTTTAATCAAGTTTTGATTTACAATGTCGTGATTTAATATTACAAGATTAGAATCCTATTTGTATGGTATCAATTGGATATCCATGTTGAAATTTGAAACTAGCAAGAACGCATTGGAAGCGAATCTACAAATCCGATTAAAGAATACGATTCAATCAAATATCGATATTGTGCTTTATTTGCTATTAAATAGCAAATTCAATTATTCTAGTAGGAAAAATGTGTACCTATGTTGAAAAAATACATAAAAGTATATGCAGAAAAGACTTGAATTGTTTACTTATATCCATAATAACGGCGTATGTTGATGCCTAATCTGCTTGAAAATATAACAGCAGCTCTACGAACAATGGCGTCTAAAAAATTCGCATTTGTTTTTTATTGATTATTAAGAAAATGCATAAATTGTTTACTTACATGATAGTAACGGCGTATCTCTAACGTGTGGATAGTGGGTTACCTCAAGGCACTTAGGCCTCACTAAGCCCATTGTGCATCCTTCTAAGATGATAGGCACCTCCTAGCTCGTGATCCAGCCTACAGATTTAATGTAGTTAACAACGTCGCCAAGAGGTGCTTCTTTTATATCAGCCGGTGTTAGCTAATACTCGCCAAATACCAATCTGCTAATAAATGAGAGGGTCGAGCAATCGTAGAAAATATGCTCGATGGTCTCATCTTCTTATTCGCACCCCCTGCAGAGTACAGATTCTGACAACCCCATGATATGGAGGTGCTTCCGGCAATAACCAGTCAGAATGTCTGTGACTAGGCGCAGATTCTGTTTAATCATAGTCAAGTATTTGTTTGTTGCAGTGTTGTCAGGATAACTTAAAAGCTTCCTGGGAACTCTGTAGTTTCTTGTTTCATCCCTTCTTTCCTTGAATTTCATAAAGGAATGTTCTTTAATTAGGTCTGTCAATACCGATTTTGTCAGACTAATAGAAGGACCAGGTCCAAAAAGTATATAGTTGCCAGCATTCTTGGCCAATGAATCATGATGACCACATTGTTGATGGATACTTCGGCCAAAGTTTCGTGACATTCTAGTACTAACCCTGAGTAAATTAGTGGTCTGTTCAGAGTGAGTAGTGATTGTCTGCTATCTGTATAGATGAGCATGTTTCTTCCAGTGATATTATTTCTTGTGATTTATGTTGCTGCTATGAGAATCCCGTGAGCTCTGTTTGAACTACACTGGCACTATTGCTCACAGCCCATTTTATATTTAGGTTTAAGGATCTGGAGTATATTTCATATTCTGAGCTTTGTTTTTGTTTTAGAACCGTCAGTGTACATATGAATCGTACCTGCCACTTCCGGCTCTTCAATTTGTTCTGTTATAACTTGATATGGCTTATGGACGGTTTCAAATCGTTATAATCATGCACATATAAATTTACGTGTTCGGGTTTTTCCAAATCTAGTTCTAGAACACTCTAGGATTGACTGTTTCGTGTTTTGGTTTTTTCAATAACTGTCATTAACAATCCTAGAACCGTTCTTAATGATTTCCAAGAAAATTTGCGAACTGATGGGGACTGAGTTTGTAGACATGCGCAGAGAGCCGTTTAACATAACCTGGTAGGGTTGTAAGGGGAGGTTAGGTTTATTCGGTTTATTTTTG